GTGAGGAGGTGCGGTTCCGTAGGCTGGACGACATCAGCGGTGGCACAGGGTCCTCAGGCCTGGCGGGTCGGCTGCTCAATGACCCAGAGATGCTTCTCGTCAGTGCAGAGGAACCACCCACGTTTGCGTTGGCCGAGTGCGATGCAAATTGGCTACGGGCGATGCTAGAGAAGATGAAGGTTGTTGGCCCCTGGTTCTCCTGCTCGGGTGAACCGACCGCTCATCGGCGTTGCCGACCACACACTATGGCTAGAGGTAGAAGAAGGGAGGAAGAACAGAGCGCACACACACAGCACAAGCACCAGCATTGGCCGGAGCTCTGCAGAGGAGATGACAAAACTAAACTCGCTCAACTTTACTGAGTTGCAGTGGGAAACTATATATATAACTCTACCCATCAAATCCTAGTATACAGACATGTCAGGCTGTCATGCTGCTATAGTGACTAGATGTGACAGCAGTGCTGACTTTGACGGCTGCCCCTGCTGTGGCTACAGTACGACAGGGGAGCCTTTCGACATCTGTCCCTGTCGCGGCTACAGTGCAGTGGCAGGGGAGCCCTTTTGGCGCCTATCCCTACCACGGCGTACAAAGGAGAGCAACAGATTATTTAACATGATCCAAGCTTTGCACAAGAAAAAAACAACCAGCCCTATTTATTAAATTGGACATTTCAAAGGCTTTTTGACTCCATCGGATGGCAATATTTGTTAGAAGTTCTCACAGCCTTGGGGTTCGGTACAAAATGGCGGAACTGGATATCTTCGATCCCGGGATCCTCATCCTCGAGAATACTTATTAATGGCAGGCCGAACCAAAATATCAAACATGTCAAAGGGCTAAGACAAGGGGATCCGCTCTCGCCATTGCTCTTTATAATTGGGATTGATCCACTCCAAAGGATTCTGGAGAAGGCGGCCCAGCAAGGATTACTGCAGCCGGTGCTCCCAAAGCATACTAAATTAAGGTGCCCTCTATACGCAGATGACGCGGCCTTTTTTGCAAATCCATCTGCTACTGAGTTGGACAGGCTAAGAAATATACTGCATGTCTGCATAGTTTTGGAGAATGCTCAGGCCTGAAAATTAACATGTCCAGAACTGAAATCTTTCCGATCAGGATGCAGGCCAGCATGATGCATACAATTGTGCAAAATTTTTCCCGGGTAAGATTGGTACCTTTCCTGGCAAATACCTGGGCCTCCCATTGCACACGAGAAAATTAAGAAAAATAGAAGTTCAACCTCTCATCGATAAGATTGGAGCAAGATTGCCCGGATGGAAAGGCAAATTCCTATCATCCTCAGGAAGAGAGACATTGGTTAAAACTGTGCTATCAAGCTTACAGATATACCATCTGACAGTTTTCCAAGCACAAAAATGGCTCATAAAGAGAATTGATCGTATTAGAAGAAGTTTTCTGTGGAGGGGAGAGAACCCGGACAATGTGAGGGGTGGCCACTCGTTAATAAATTGGCCAACCACGTGTTTGCCTAAGGTAAAAGGTGGATTAGGAATCTTGGATTTGGAAAGATTTACAAGAGCACTCAGGCTGAGGTGGCTATGGTTCACATGGAACCAAAAACAAAGAGCTTGGAATCAGTTGGAAATCCCGTGCGATAGAATAGACCGAGAGCTCTTCTATGCATCAACTGTGGTGACCGTAGGAGATGGTCAGACGGCACCTTTCTGGTGCTCCAATTGGATAAATGGGACTATGGCAAAATCGATTGCACCGTTACTGTATGAGAAGACGAGACGGAAGAAAATCACAGTGCACCAGGCGCTAACACAGAACAAGTGGATTGATCATGTGTACCCACCAACCACACAAGAAGAGGTAATACAGTTTGTCAGGCTTTGGGAGGCGCTAAGAGGGGTTGTGCTAAACAATATGGTCGAGGATGATATTAGATGGAGATGGACAGCAGATGGCGTGTATACCACACAAAGTGCGTACCAGGCTCAGTTCACTGGAGTTTTCAGTAGGATCAAAATAACTCCGATTTGGTGCATGTTTAGTTCCTAAAATTTTACAAAAATTTTTAAGATTCTCCGTCACATCGAATCTTTGGACGCATGCATGAAGCATTAAATATAAATAAAAAATAAAACTAATTACATAGTTTAGACGAAATTCACGAGACGAATCTTTTAAACCTAATTAGACTATGATGGGACACTAATTGCCAAATAACGACGAAAGTGCTATAGTACCATTTCCCAAAAAAATTCGCCAACTAAACAAGGTGGAAGGCCAAAGCGGAGCACAAATGTCGTTTCTTTGCCTGGACGTTACTGCATAAGAAGATACGAACTGCAAACAACCTATTTAAAAGAGGATGGACTGAAGATACCGATTGTAAGCTTTGTAACAACAATCAGGAAACTCCTGTTCACTTATGCAAAGATTGCCCATTTGCAAAGGAGGTTTGGACAATCCTAAAGCAATGGCTGAACCTGTCCGTGTTAGATTCAGTTAACAGTCAAGGCTCAATTTATACCTTTTGGAGGAGATGTCGGCGCAAATTTGATAAAAACCAAAGGAGGGAGGTAGATGGCATTCTAATCTATTTCTGGTGGAATGTTTGGAAAGAAAGAAATAGAAGGATCTTCCAACATAAAAAGCTAAATCCGATTCAAGTGGCTGCACTATGCAATGATGACATCACGCAGTATCGACTGGCAGTGGCGCCGAGGCAGCAATTTTCCCAAGTTGACCAAGACTAGTTGCTCAAATAGCAGTCTTTCAGTTTTGTTGCCAGTTTTCTTCAGTCTTTTGTTGTCGTCTTTCAGTTGCGTTCTTCTTAGTCTCTCGGAGTAGCCTCTGAGGCAGTGGTGTTTTTATCGCTGTGTAGGGTGGTGTGGCTTGGACAGTCCACTTTGGATTGTCTTTCTGTAATTATGGTTTGTATAGCTTTTTTCTTTTCATCGTCTAATACAAAATGCGGCCAAACTTTTGCTGCCCTTTCAAAAAAAAAAACGTATGTACGCACGTGGCCCGGTGGCCCGCAGATGAGCTGGTTGAAATTCTCGGCCCAGTTAGGTGCACTGCATCATTCTTCTACTTTTTTTTTCTCCAAACTATCGCCGGAGTCTACGTTTCCTCTTCAAACTCCAAAACTGCACAAACTGAGTCTGTCAACAATCAAAACCATTTATACTATCTCCCTACCCAGTTAGAAGTGATTTTCAAAGGCGGTTTAAACACCTAATGATGCTTTCAAACCAAAAAAAATATCACTAAGCTCTTAATTTTTTTTGATAAAAACAATAGAGAGATTGGGATACGAGAACCCAACTAAAATACTTAGAACTCATGAAAATATCTCTAGAAGCTTCTAGAAAATAGATTTGTCTTAGAAAAATGAAAAACATCCAAAGAAAAATATAAAAAATCCTAAAACGATCTACCCGATGTGTAAACACGTTTTGAAATCTTTTGACAACAAAAATATGCTATGCAACATACACTAATGTCAAATGCATTCATTCTGGTTTCTCTCTTTTGTTGTGAGAAGTTTTCAAAAATGCAATTGGACATAGCCAAGAATGTTTTATAAATTCTTTTAGATTTTTCAGTATATTTTTCATTTAACTAGAGATATATCCTATTTTTGGAAGCTTCTCTAGAGATATGTCCATGAGCTCTAAGTAATTTTATTTTATTTGGGTTTCTAGTGTCCCAATCTATCTCTAAATTTATTCTCGGAATTGGATAAAAGTCTGCCAAAAAAAGCATGAGCACCAGACGATCCGCTGCCTTAAAAGATATACACTGTCAGATCATACAGTGCTACTAGCCATTGTGTCTTTCCATACATCGGAATATCTATTGCTTACATTTTCATCTACCACCAGAGTGTCCGGCTGAGTATAAAATGCACTAGACACCTTTACTAATTATCATCGGACGGACCACTGCTCCTCATTTTTCTTTCATTGGACTGTCCAGTGCTATCTTCCATCCTAGGCTGCACAGTGACCAAGCTACTGGTCTAACATCGCCTGACGATCCACTGATGTGCACCTCTTCTTCACTGGGTCGTCAGGTGCGTGTATTTTTCCTGGGTGCCTATCGGCGCCACCCTGTCGACCCGCGGTTTGATCAAGCTCTTGATGATCTCATCGCTCAATTCGTCCGCCTTGACAGGGTTCAGCTTTATTCCATGGGAGCGGCCGTGTTGGAAGTAGGATTTTGACATGAAAGACATGAGCTATAAATAAGTTCTCGGTGCATGCCTTCCTCTGTGTCATATGGTAAAGACGATTCCTTGAGTAGTTTGATTCAAATGAAGTAGTTAGCCTACTCCCTCAGTTTATGAATAAATTTATAATTGTTGTAAATCAAAAAAAAGTTTGATCAATGTTATATAAAGAATACCAACGAAATGACTTTATTATGAAAATACATTCCGTGGTTTATCTAATCTAATTATACTAGTTTTATACCATATACTCCCTCCGGTTCTCTAAATCAAGTCGTTTTGAGGTTCTCTTAAGTCAAACGTTTTAAACTTTGACTACAAATAACTTCTTTTGGGTTGAGTTTGAAAATATGAAAGTGATGTAAGTAGACTCATCTCGAAATATAGTTTCATAAAAATATATATTGACTATATTTTATAAATATTTTATAGCAAAAAGTAGCGGTCAAAGTCGTTTCTTAAAGACCGTGTCGATGTCCAAAACGACTTGCTTTAGAGAACCGGAGGGAGTATATAACTATTAGTGACTGACACAAATCTGTCTGACTTGTGTTAGCTAAAAGTCAGTTAGACAGACGCAAGACATCCGACACATATATGGAATATTACGACAAGTGCAGGAGTTTTCCCTAGTAAAAGGTAGGTTCAATAAACAAAAATAGATAAAGGCTATGGCCATATACACACTAGCCATGAAGCCAAGACAAAAGTCACGTGATACGGTGATAGCAATATTTAGCATCCATTGCTGTTAACAGATACAGCTCGAGCCTTTATTTCACCCCGTTGCTCTTTACTTCTCGGCCTCCTGCACCATGCGCGCGATTTCCTCCTTGCGCAGTCGGCCGCCGTGGTTAACGATGGTGATGCTATTCTTATTCCCAGTGTCCCTGTCCTCCGCGGACACCTTCATGACGCCGTTTGCATCGATATCGAGGGTGACATCAAACTTAGGTACACCCTCCGGTGCCGGGGGTACATCGGTGAGCTTGAACGTGCCGAGCAGGTTGTTGTCCCTGGTGTCTGCGCTCTCGCCCTCGTACACTGGTAAGGAAACAGTAGTCTGGTTGTCATAGTTAGTAGTGAAGCCCTGCACCTTCTTGGTCGGGATGGCGATGTTCCTCGGGATCACCATTTTCATTGTACTATAATCATCTCTGATCGCTATCCCAAGCGAGAGTGGCGTAACGTCGCGCAGAAGCATATCCACTAATCTCCCATCGTCAGTTGCACCACTGAGAATAGAGGCCTGGATGGCAGCACCGTAAGCAACAGCTTCATCAGGGTTGATGCTCCGGTAAAGCTCCTTCCCATAGAAGAAATCCCGAAGCATGCTCTGCACCTTGGGGATACGGGTGGAGCCGCCCACGAGGACGACGTCGTGGACGCTGCTCTTGTCCATCTTGGCATCACATAAGCACTTATCCAGAGCCTTCATGCACTTGCTGAAAAGATCCTTGTTGAGCTCCTCGAATCGAGATCGGGTGATGGTGGTGCAGAAGTCAATGCCGTCATGGAGTGAGTCGACCTCAATGGTGGTCTGTGCGGTGGAAGACAGCATCCTCTTTGCTCTCTCGCAGGCAGTCCTCAGCCGCCGAAGCGCCTTCTGGTTGCTATGGATGTCCATCCTCCCGTGTTTCCGTGTAAATTCCCGGAGAGAGTATTTCACCATCTCGTTGTCGAAGTCCGCCCCGCCAAAAGGTGAGTGTCACCGGCGATGGCCACCACCTCAAAGAGACCCTTATCCATGCCGACTCCCGGATCAATGTTGAGGAGGGAGACATCAAAGGTACCACCACCAAGATCAAAAACGAGAACTGTCCTTCGTTTGTTGCTGACTGGCATCTTCTCAAGACCATATGCAAGGGCAGCGGCGGTTGGCTCATTGATAATGCGCATGACATTTAGGCCGGCAATGGCACCGGCGTCAATGGTAGCCTGGCGCTGGGAGTTGTTGAAGTAGACAGGCACGGTGATGACAGCGTTCTTGATCTTTTTACCGAGATATACCTCGGCTGTCTCTCTCATCTTGACCAGCACCATGGAGGAGATCTGCTCAGGCATGAACTGCTTCTCCTTGCCTTCATGCTGCACAACGATCATTGGTCGTTCGTCATTACCTGCGACGACTTTGAAAGGTCACAACTTGACATCTTCTTGTACAGACTCGGCGCTGAACCAGCGGCCAATTAGTCGCTTCACCTCTGTAGAAAATTAGCCATGTAGTCAATAGAGTGAAGCATAAATGGCATAGCAGCAGTAGTTTGTACTATGCGTTTGAAAAATATTCTACAAAGTAATAAAGGTTTGATTTGAAATACAACAGATATTAGGTTTGGTCCTACTAATACACTGTAATTTTCCATCATTTCCAGTTCAAAAGAACTAATGCCGAGACCTTATATTAACTTTTTCATGAAATCATGATTACATTATCTCAGTTGTCATGTTTAATCCTTCAATCCTTGGTATATACTTGATCCACTTCATATGCAAGAATTCAGTGAGTTGTTTTGAAAGAAAGGTGTGCACTGTACATCATGAGACGAAAGTGAATCTAGTAATAGTGATAGTGATAGTGATTAATGATTATACACAAACTAAACAGCCGCGCAGGAGACAGTAAGTCACCGCAAAACGAAGTTAAAAAATGTCAGAAATATAATGTGGACATGCAGGCAGAGAAATTTAAGAGCCATGCTTGTTGCCAGGATATGAACAAACTATTGCGCTTGCTTGTGCTTGAATAATAAACATTGAAGCTGAGATGGAGCAGCAAACTTTATATGCTTCCTATTTCCAAACAGTTGATAGATCTGTTCATAAACATTGCACTCAATCTAGCTACACAGGCACAGTTGATAGATCTGTGACGCAAATTAATCAGCGCGCGAGTGCACACGCGTGACGATCGAAGAAAATAACAAGTTATATAAGCGAGTGATAATAAAACAGCTGGTGTGCAGTTCTCACCGAAGATGGTATTGGTGGGGTTCAAGGCGGCCTGGTTCACCGCCGCCTCGCCGACGAGCTTCTCGGCGTTGGTGAACGCCACGCACGACGGCCTGAGGCGGTTGACCTGGTCGTTGGCGATGGCCTCACCGCGGTCGTGCCGCCACACGGCCACGCACGAGTAGGTCGTCCCCAGGTCGATGCCGATCACCGGCCCGTCGACCTTCGAGGCCGCCATCTCAACAGTCAGAGGAGAGCAAAGTAGAAAGTAGTCGGAATTTATGGGTGTGCGTATATGCGAAATAAATGGATGCCGCTTCGATACATGTGCGTGCTAGGGCAACCGTCCTCTCCACGAGTTCTTTGGCTGGGCTTTTGCTATAGACCGAACGTCTGACCGGTTGGATGCCCCGCACTCCCATACTCGGCCCACTTCCTTGGCTCCGTCTGCTTCCCCGCACCCTCTCCCCCTCACTCGCTCTTCTCCGTGCCGCTCCCCCACACCCGGTCCCCCTCCGCGCCGCTTTCCTGCACACTCTCCGCGCCGTCACTGGGATTGGGAAGACCGCGTCCACGAGCTCGCAGCGCGCCCACGCCCGCTGGTGCTCCCTTCCTCCCTCCATCTCTCGTCCACCGCGACCTCCATGCACCCCCACTGTCCCTGTGACCCGGCTCCCACACTCCACCGGAGACGAGGACGACGGCGGTGGCTCCAACGAGGTAGGTGGCGGAGGGATCTGGATCTGAGGCATGCTCCTCCTTCTCTAGATCTGGATCTAAGCCCTCCTCCCTCCTCTGGATCTGAGCCCTCCTCCTCCTCCTCCTCCTCTGGATCTAAGGGAAGCGGCGGTGGCTAGGGTTCCGGTGAGCTCTCGGGGTCAGATCTCGCCGTGTTGCAATGGGTTTTTTTTATGTTGCAACAGATGATTTCGAATGTTGCAATGTGATTTTTTGTTGTTGTTGCAACAGATGTTTTTGCAATGTTGCAGTAGTACTGCTTGAGATGTTATAGTATGTTTCAGTTGCTTCAATCTTATGTTGCAGTAGTTGTTCCATATTATTGCAAGTGTTTTTATTTTCGAACGTTGTTCATATGCTTCACACCAGTGTTGCAATAATATGTTCCAAATATTTCAGCTCCTTCAACCTATTGTTGCAGCAGTTTGCTCGATGTTATTGCAATAAGATGTTCATGGTGTTTCAACTGCTTCAGCCTAATATTTCAGTTGTTGTTCCTTGTTGTTGCAATAATATGTTCATGTTGTTTCAACTGCTTCATCCTAATGTTGCAGTTGTTGTTCCTTGTTGTTGCAATATATATGTTCATGGTGTTTCAGCATAATATTGCAGTAGTTGTTTCCGTGTTGTTGCACGTGTTTTTATTCCAGCTTTCTATGCTGTTCGGCTAGGGAGGGGCGAGCCGGGACGGACGGGGGCGCGTGGTTCGCCGGGGCCTAGCGGGCGAAGGTGCTGGGGCCGGCGGATGCGGGGTGATGTGGCCATGGGGGGTGCTGGGCATGCAGCATGCTTTGTCGTGGGCGTGGGGCAGACGCTACGGGCTGCGGAGCGATCTGGGGGCGTACAGACTCGCGCGGCACATAGGCTAGCGGGGCTCTTTGTAGGCATCGTGGTTTGCGGGTTCGTTGGTGTTAGCAGGGCTCTTCGTTCGACGAAGACGCAGCGGCGGTAGTTCGTGCGGGCGCGCGATCTTAGGGCGGCGGCGGTCCAGCGGGCCCGCTCCTTGCGCACGTCGCCGGGGGACGTGCTAGTAGCGTGCGGTGTGGAACTAAGAAGGAAGAGCGCGCGCTGGGGGAGTGCGTCCACGGAACCGTCCGATGAATCCGTATCCATCGGACGTCCGGGCGCCGGCGCTCCCCTTAAAAGGCCGTCTATCTGGTAGGTGTGGCACCCTCGAATCCAAACTATAATCACGATCTAAAACAAAAAAGGAACTACCCGGGCTCAGTCATCCCACTATCGACTAGGTACAGGCGTACAGTCCATTATTAGAGATCAAATGTGCTGTTTTTTTTTCTTTTCCTTTTTTCCCAATACTTTCAACTAATTCATCACTCATTATAAAAGACAATAATGATAGTTATGGATGTTGATATGTTTATTCAAACATTAACAATAAATTGTTTAAACAATTTGCAAGAACAATTCTAACAATTAGGAAGGAAAGTTCTAACACACAAAATGCACGGAGGAAACTGTGGGGCAAGCAAGGAAGAGGACAGCGCTTTCCAAAGGCTAGGCAACAAACACAGTAAGGAAGACGAAGGAGCTGCCAAGCCGGGTCTTCCACACATGACTCCCAATAAAGGAGTGCTCATGGTCATTTCATTTTCTTTTATCTATTATGAGAAGCTGTTTTGCTAAACATGTGTCAAAATGGCTTCGACTCTAACTGTAGAGCTATTCGTGGAGCTAAAGTAAAAAAAAACGACTTCACTGGTAAAGTGAAACCGTGCCAAACAGCGCCTTATTAATTACCTTGCCACTGCCTAATTGTAGAATACAAGACTCGTGGCCTTGGGTTTTCGGATATTAGTTCTCCCTAAAAGTACATCGTCGTTGTTATCGCAGTGGATGATTAGTGCTACTTTCATGCAACTTATATCGTGTTATACATACATGTATATGACCGTAGCCTATTAGCAGGAGCTGTTAGTTTATGGAACATGGTTTAATAGTTGATAGTGAAGTAACCTTTCTACTACCTCTGTTGGATAATCTACATCTGCAGTACCAATTTTATCTCGGTCATGGATTCAGCGCTCTCTGCACAAAGAGCTATCTTCGTGAAAACATGGTACACCACCAAGAGTGATTATTCCATCATTTAAAAAGAGGAAAATGTTCATTACATGGCCCTCAACCAACCAAAACTGGAACTGGGCAAAAACTGCAATTCACAAGCTAACAAGCAACAGTAAAACTTACAAAGCTCAAAAACATATCCAAACAGGCAGTATAGATAGAAAACATAACTGTGATGTGCCTTCATTGGATGAGAAGAAAACCGTATCAATATACTGCTGATATATTACTGTTTGGCATAGAATTATTTGCTGACCATTGTCCAATCTAAGCAAACACTCATTAATGCTCCATTTTAGCAAAGCTACTCTGAAGAAAATAATTGTCTTCCTGCAATTCAATACAAGGCAGTATAGCTTGATGAGGAAATGGTCTCAAAATCATTGCACCTAGAGCCCTAGAGGAACTTGCCCCGCCCAAGTCGCTGGAGATGGTAATTGATGGTCTTTGCTGCGTTCTTTGGCCTCCCCTTCTGCAATCACGTCACAAGCAGGCATTAGTTGCAGAAGAATTGCTGGGTTAGCGCTTTGACAAAACAATGCCAAGGATGACAAAACAATGTCTAAGGATGCAAAACACAAGTAGCGATGTGGATAGTAACCTGTGTCTGAGTGCATTGAACCAAAAGATCCTTCTGCCTGATGCACTTGTCATCATTCTGTTTGTTTAAGGCCAGACAGTTGAGGAAGGCCACCATTTCTGGCATGCAAGGCTTCGCGACAGCACCAAACTTCTTTGGGTTTATGTACAAAGCACCAGCCTTCCTACCCATTCTGCTGCTTCACCTTCACCTTCATGGATGTGATCAATATGTGTGATTAGATCAACAGCGTGTGAGAATAGCTCTAAATCCCACTTCAGCAACACAGTACACACAGAAATTCAAAGAGCAACAAATCGATGTGGGAGATGAAATGTTTGTAGAAAACCCCAGGGTAGAAGTAGAACGAAAGGTGCTTGAATACATGTGCAAAAAATATGTGCTAGGTACGGCATGGACCATATAAACACTGCGCATTATCCAGTTTAAGCATAGTGATTCGAACAGCAGAAAGCAAGCAAAGCATCAGTCAATGTGATTCTCCATAGTCAATACAGAGACCATGTCTAAGAGGTAGCAACTTTGAACCGTCAGAACACCTGCAGACGAATACGAGTACGAAAACTGAACAATAATAAAACGCAAGCTTCGATACGGATAAGTTACTAATTTCCTTCGCAGAAGCATTCGGTCGAACAGGTTGCAGGCGCCATCAAAGTTGTCCCAACAGACGGAAACACCTCAACACCACAGAAGAGGCAACCGAGCGGCGGTGAGGAGTAACGCCCCGGCACAGAGACGGAGTCCCGGCTCACGGCAGGCTAAGGTTGACAGGCGGGTCAGATCTGCCGAGTGGCAACCGAAACCCGTGGGTGGGGATTCTTACCGCGGCGGGTCGAAGCACACGTCCGGAAGGGGTAATCCATGACGGAGCAAGGGAGGGGAGGTGAAGGGACCGAGACGCGTACCTGGAGAAGGAGCCTGCGACGGGTAGACGGCCGGCAGCGGCGACGGGGGTGCGAGAGCTTAGGAGGCGGCGTTCTTGAGAGCGTACGAGCAGTTTCTGGAAGGTGAGGTGGACCGTGGATGTCCAAGTTGGGCTTAAGTGACTTGATGAGGTGAGTGGGCCTTATTTTTAAGAAGACAGTGTTACGAGGGAGCTTTGTTCACAGCCCATTGAAGTCATTGTAGGAAGGAACATTACAGAAAGGCCCATATTTGAGATCTTTAACGTGACCAAAAGTGTCTTCATTCCTTTCAAATAAAAAAACGTCTTCATTTTTGTGTTCAAAACCTGCTGCAACGCTCAGGAATTTTGTTTTACCAAAAAAAGAGTTGCCAAAAAAAAAATGATAAACTCCCGCACGAACCGAATCGATTTAATTCCCAGAGGGAACAGGGTAGGGCCAAAACCTCGGACAATCTCCCATATGCTGACTTCTTGCGAACTAGTGAAGTCTCGTACTCGTATTCGGCTGAACTGCACAACTGCTGTGGCGGCGGGCTGTGGCTGCCAACAGTTTCAGCAGGGAACTGTACCACAAGCAGCGGCGGCGGCTGTTTAGCCGCAGCTGGCACATCCGTGGAAGTGATGAAAGAACAGTATCGGGCGCGATTGGTTGCCGAACCAGACCGTCATATGGCCCATCTCGTACCCTTTGGTGCATTTCGCCTGTGTTTGGTTGCGCTACTCGCACTTTTCTCCTGCTTCCTCTCGTGCAGATGTCCTCCTCCATCCCGGACGATGCCGTCTTCTCGATCCCCACTTCCCTCTCGGTGCAGGCTCGCGCGGTGCTTGGCGGGAACCTTTTCAGAGAGCGCGGGAGATGAGGCCGTCTTGGCGATAAAGCGCGCGCGGGGGTCGTGGCTAGGGT